GTCGGGCGCGCTCCGGAGGGGGGCGAAGCACACTCTTGAGGGGGATGGAGCGTGCTCCTGAGGGGTGCGGGGCACAGAGGGTACCCTCCCAGGTGCAGGATAGCCACTCGGGTGCAAGGAATGCCCCGTGCACCCTGCAGCCGGGGGCAGAGTGAGCTGCCCATGGGGGCGCAGTGAGCCACTGATGGCGGACATTCGGCGTGCCAAATGTCACCCCCCTCTGTGAAGACACTTGGGGCGATCCACCCCCACCGCACCCCCTTCCTCAGCCCCTGTGTGGACTCTGGACGATTTCGCAGAATGTAATGTGGTCCTTGAGATAAATAAAAGCTTCCTCATGCCTGGTCTATAGGAAAAAATAGGCACAAATTATTTCCCCGCTTCGTCATCTGTATAGTATTATGCAATGGTGATTCACCCGCCTGTACAAATCATGAACATATTGCTGCCGTATCATCCCTAGCTGCCTTCTGCAGCTCACCTTCTCTCTCACTTTGTCCTTCTGTCATGTGTGAAGTGTATTTCCCCCACCCCAACAAATACTGAAACACTGTTATGATTTCATGAAGTACTAATGATCTGACATCCAAGGAGAAAGCAAAATCTGTGCTTTTGGGCCTATTAAGGAATGACAGAAAGCAGCAAACATTTTTCCTTAAGGAACAAAACATATTTGAACATTTCGTTGGTACTTGTTACAAAAACAGTGCAGGCAAAATCTACAGTTCAATTTCTGAAGTACTAAAAATTGGAGGTAATATTTAGGTTAGCTGCATGTTGGCTGTACTGCAATAAACCAAACCATTGAAGGTTTGGATCAGAGTCATTTCTGCTGTAACATAATGAAGGCTTCATTGATCTCCGTGGCAGTTGCTTGAGTTTTTATAGAATTTTCTTGTGTTCAGATTCAATACAGCAGTGTTTCTCAAACTTCTGAAGTTTGTGAGACTCTTTTCTTTCTGGTTTAACTTGGAGGCACTCGTATGTATATTTTGACACTGCAGTCCTATGCATCTTCTCTCAAAAGGAAGCCTACTGTGTTTTATGGCACTTACTTATGACAAACAAGAAAAGTTGAACCCCAAAGCACTGAATAAAATGTTTTGGTAAGATTCACTCCAATGAATATTTCCTCAAATGAGGTGGTGCCAGTACAGACCTTGTCTGCCTACATAAGGCTTCAGATAGCCCCAGCTCTTGGCTGAGGGCTTATCCTCACATACCTTTTGCCCTGGTCTTTGCAGGCACAGGTCTAGGCCCTGTGAAAACCCGCTCTTTAAAACTGAAGTGCACCAAACAGCAACTCAGGTTCTCTGCGGATTGCCCCTTTTTCCAATTCAGCTTTTGTAGGGAAATCTCCAGATCAAAAAAAGAAAAGAAAAGAAAGGGCACTCGGACATGGAGTTTTCAAATGTGGACTGTGCCTGAAAACAGCGGAGAAAGTGTGGATAAGCCTTGAGACAACAGCTTTCAAAGTTCAGCCGGCAGGGCCCAATGGGAGTTGTCCAGGGTCCTGAATCTGTTTAGAGAAACTTAACTTGACTTTTTGCCTGGATTTGCCTTGATGTGCTTGACCTATTTATTGCTTGCACTTCCCCTGTGAGTCTCAAGCCCAAGTGGAACAGGAGAGCCTCAGCAAATGTTGACTTGAAAGTTCTCATACAAACTTACCAGGCTGAGTGTGTGGGCTATGTGTGTGAAAAGTTTAAGCACACAGTCCCCACCCCCTTCTGCTGTCATCCGTTCATGGTCCTGGTAACAGCAGGAATTGTGTTCCCCGGTGCTTTGGGACGTCATTTTATATTACCCACCCAGCCCAGAAGTCACCTGAGTGAAGGAAATCCTTCCTGCTATCACTCTGATGTGGCTTCATGATTAATGCTTGATAGACTTTTGTGACAGAACCCTTTAACTACCAAGTCTCCCACAGCAGCTTATGTTTTTCAAAAAGGGAAAAAATTGTTCTACAGTAGACAGCTTTTAAAGAGCCAGAAAAATGAGGAAACTCCACCTCTGTCATGGTAAGCCCTTCCTGAAATGGTATAAATTGCTTCATGCCACCTCACACTCTTTGTTCTTTAAGCTCTCCACCCATCCTCAAATTCAGGCAAAACTTAAAATGGAGCTTAAGAAGTCCAGGTCAATATGGGGTAACCTTGCAACATTTGGTGCAGCAGATCCAGTGACCCGAGCACCAAATTTCTAATGCCAAGCTCCCTATCAGATACGTGTTTTCACTGACTGAAAGTCAACTGCAAGTTTATACATTCCAGTAAGAGATCATAGATCTGTATGTGCGACAAGTAACGGTGATGGTAGCAATAGACGTTGTTGAAGTTGGTGTCAGATGTATAAAAATTGTTCACCTACTCACCTGTCAGTGTCAGATGTGTTAAGTAAAAAAGAGAAAGTACCTGTCCATCAGCAAGTCCATTTTTCTTTCCTAAGGCTCTCAAAAGTGTCACAAATATCTTCCTCTGGATAGGTAGTCTAGTAAAACTGCTTGTGGGTTAAAAAGTCTTTTAAAAGCTGGACTTTAGTACTAAGTGATTCACAAAGTTGTGTGGATTCAGAGACCAGTAGCTTACTGCACAATTCTAAACATGCTTACCCTGAAGTAAGTCCCATTGAATTCAATGGGACTTGTCCCAGGTAAATGGGGTGAGGATTGCAGCCTTAACTTTCAGCTCACTTTGCTATCTGAATGAAAAACACCATCCATGGCTCGCTTCCAAAGATCACATCTTTTCAGTTTGCCACGGCAAAACTGATGGGAATCAGGAGTCTATAAGGACACAGAGTCTGTTTACTGTTTTCTGTTTTGCTTTCTCCCTCTGATTAAGGCTGAGAACACGAGACTTGCAAGTATTTTAGAGGGTTATCTCAGGATAACCCAAGGAGATCTTGTGTGTCCAGAGCAGAAGGAAGGTGCCTAGACACCTTTTAAGTGGATTTGAGGTGGTGGCTATGGAATTTGAGGCATGTAGGACACTTTTTAATGAGCAAGAGAATAGGATTTTGAACAGCAGCAAGAGAATCCTGTGGGATCTTGTGGAAGAGGATTGACCTCTAACCGAAGACCACAACACTGACTTGCTTAACAGCTTAAAGGATTATCAGAGAGTGAGAATGCCAGAAGCTTCAAGATTTATTATGACTTTACAGAGAGGCTTATCTAGAGGAATCGATCAGATTAAACTGAGTATGTGTTGAAGAACACTTTCTTCAGGGGCTATACGATGTTAACGCTTTGCCCTTTGCAAGGGGCTCCCAGAGGACAATCTTCCTTAAAAAAAGAAAAGAAAGATGATTAAAGCTTCTAAATGCTTAATGCAGAGGTTTTCAACCTTTCTGAGTCCACGGCTCCCTTGACCAGCTACAGTACCTTCTTTCTGTGGCACCCCTGTGGGGCTCAGGAGCTCAATTACATCATGCCTTTCCTGCAAAGCTAGCAGCCTCTCACCCCTTTTTGAACACTCTCCCTTTTGGAGTGTTCCTTCAGCCTCCTCTCCTCTCCCTTCTCCTTGGGAGTCCTCTGGGCAGCCGCTGCTGCTGGCCCTGGTCTCTAAGCTGTGCCCCCCCTCCAAAGAGAACTGTCTCCTCACACTGCCCCACAGGGCAGAGGATGACACCAGCCTTAGTGGCCTAATGGAGACTGTCCACTGTTGGGGGGAAACCCCATTGAAGAAGATAACAGTTGTTACCCAGACCCTGTCGCTGGTTGTGAAGGGGCCCCCATAACAGTTCGAGTTTCAGGGTCCCCCAAATGTAGGTCCGCCACACCTGTAGCTTTTGAGTTGTATTAGAATATGTGACGTAACTAGGGCTATGCCAAAAGTTTGCCTATTTATATGGGGGGGGGGGGAGGGATGAAAATAGATTTTTTGAGGAAGGTGGGGACTTGACAAATAAACCCTTGATATTTATATTCCCTTTGTTCTCCCATTCCTACTGCCATTGTTTTTTCTTCTCCGCTGCTTCACTGCCGTTTTTTACGAGTTTATTTTTGTCTTCTTAGAGTTATCTCAGCCACTCAAGGATGAAACATGACAAATGTGATACCCCCCCCCCCCGTGCTATGCAACTGATAGCTATGGCTACACAGAGGGCACACAAAACCAATTGAGAGTGGGGACAATTTTTCCTGCATCAGTAACATGGAAATCTTAGCCAATTGGATAACCAGTTGTCCTCATTCTGTATCAGTGAATGTTTTGTCCTTCCTTTTGATGCAATTACTGAAAGGTTACTGAAAGGCAGGTGTTTTTCAGTTCTTCCAAAAATGTTTGCAATGCCCCCTCCCCGTGCAGGTACACACACAAAATGTTTGGTTCAGTCCTTGGAGATACAAACTACAATGGCCATGCTGAAATTTTAACTTTTTAATGGATACACTTAATCTACTGGTACAAATTCAGTTTTTGGAGTCCGATGATTAAATCTGAATTTATGTCTGCTAAAACTCCACACTTTCAAAAGAACTTAGTCAACTGTATGACAAATTTCCTTCACAGAAATGGCAATTAAAAATGATCTACAAGGATGTGCTAGCAGAAAAGGCTAGAGATCAATTAGGATACACACACTGTTCAGCATAGTTGCTACTGGACAATTGGCTAGCAGGTCTGAGTAAATCATTATGCCCAATTAAACAATAAAACCTGACAGTAGGGTGGACTCTAATAAGTGAGGCTTCGGTTTGGGGGCATAGAGAATGTGCCCTTAGAGATTATTTTATTGGGAAATTTTGCTTTATTGCTGAATTGCTACTTTGATTGGAGGTTCTGATTTTTCAAGTTATTCCACACATTGATCTCCTCTCTAAAGCCTTAACCAATAAGATCAGTTTGACTTCCATTATCTTTATTGCACAGTGATTTCTATTGCAATTTGACAGTACTTATGTCAAAGCTACAGCTCGAAATCGCACAGGCTCCATAAGGCCAGCTCCTTTGCTTTCTTTGCAGCACAGTCTCTTTTTGATCCCAGCTGTGCAAGGAGCCTCTGATAGCTAAGTCGGTAGAGTATGAGACTCTTAATCTCAGCACCGTGGGTTTGAGCCCCATGTTGGGCAAAAGATTCCTTTGTTGCAGGGGGTTGGACTAGATGACCCTTGTGGTACCTTCCAACTCTACAATTATATTATTCTATAAAAGTTGCATTTAAATCTGTTCAGTGTGTTTCAGTGAATGATCATGATGCTCCTCTAAATCAATAGTAGTTTAATCTATAATAAAATCAGCAACATTTGGCAACAAGATGAAATTCATTTTGGGTTAGTTGTTGAGAACAACCTAATTCCGTGTAATTAGCTACTGAAATAAATACTCACAAAAAATGAAAGAGCAGCCCAAATGGGCTAATGACATTAAGATTTTCCACCTGTAGGAGAGTGGCTGGGCCACAGGCTTGCAGGTGCTGAGATGGTTGTCTGCAAGCCTATCTTTTTGCTTCTTGCAACTTCATTTGTGTGATGTTGGATGCATGCACTCAAACAACTATGCCCTTTCTCCTGTCCTGCAAAAAAATTGTTAGTAAAGTAAAGCTTGAGCCAGCCCTCTGTAGTAGCTGCACAGACTTATCTATTGCACAATTTCTTATTGAATTAAACAGAAGGCTATGCTACCATGCTCAAAGAGGTAACCTCAGATATTCAAGGGCTAATGGAAGCTCTTACAATACAGAGGAATGTACATGAGGAGTTACGACTTCTTTCATCAGGTCCCTTTTGAATTTCTGCATGACTTTTGTAGCACTTGGCAGAATCTGTCTGAAACCTTTCAACACCAGAAGGGGAAATATATATCAGAGAAGAATTCCTGAGGCTGAGGCCCCTGTAGACTCCTGCAATAACCCTGGCCATGTATTCCTCCCCAACATTTTTTATAACTTCTTAAAGTTGGCTTCCATTTGTTTAGGCTGATTTTTTTTTTAATGCTCTGTGGCTAGTAGCTAGTACCTTGAGAGTGAAAGGCCATAAGTTCCCTTTCCAATCAGGGTTTATTTTAAGCTATCGCAGAGCTCATCCTGGCATGCCAAGTTCTGTCTTGGTGCAAGAAAAACATGCCCCGATCATTCTCGTTTCTTTGTTCATTTCCAACCACAGCAATTTCTGAGCTTTCAGCGGAGTTGGGTCATTGTCTAGTTTGATCAAGCCTGAAATCTGAGAAATCTTTTGATCCTATAGGGCTACCTGTGTGACACAGATGAAATCTCTCCCTTCCCAAGTATTTCCTTTTATTTATTTTAGTTACAATGTGAGGCATTGGCCACACTTTAGTGCCTTTCCATTTTTCTGCTGTAGTCCTAAATCCATTAACCTTAGACACATACTGGACTGGGGGACATGTGTGCCATTAATCCACACCTTGAAAATTCAGCAAGGCTGGGGGGGGGGATCCTGTCGTTTGGGTAGCCCAGGACCTCCATATGCACTGCCCAAGCTTGTACCCAAGGAAGGTAACTTCAGTGCTTCTAATGCAACAGTTTGACCTCACCCCTTGAAGCACACACCATTGTTTCTCAAGAAAGACAGATGCCAACAACAACATCACTCAAAATACGCATCACTCAATACCAAAAGAACAAGGGAGTTCAGAAATCAGCATTGATGGTACCTCTTTCTGCCATTATATGGACAGGGATTCCATCCTTTGGAGAAGTGCAAGGATGCATTGAAGATTTCACTATGAGATTCCTTTCATTTGGCTGACAGCATGGGGAAATCCTATGGAACATAGGAAGTTGCTTTATACTGAGTCAGACCACTGGTCCATCTAGCTGTCTATTCCAGGAGTGGGGAACCATTAGCCCTCTGGATGCTGTTGGGTTCCAGCTTCAATCAGCCCCAACCAGCGTGGCCAATAGTCAAGAATGATGGGAGTTGTGTTTCTACCAACATCTGGAGGTCCACAGGTTCACCACCACTAATCTGCAATGTCCAGCTCTTTGATATTTCAGGCAGAATTGCCTCCCAGCTTTACAAGAAGATGGTGGATATTGAACCTGGGATCTTTGCATGCAAACCGTAGAAGTATTACCATTGGCAATAATCTGCTATGCTGTCTCTGAGCTCTGAAGAACGGAGATGGTAGGGTCGACTATCCTGTAGCTGATAGGAGAAAACTTGTTCATTATACAGTACTGGCAACTGACTGAGATACATAAGTGAGTTGCTTCTCCCATCTGAATTCAGAAAAATCCTTGTTCCAGTCATCAAGCTTTTGGAACAGTGCTTCCTAAATAGATTGTACCTGAATTGTGCTACTGTGCCTTCCAACAGTGCAGGAAGTTCTCATTCTTTTTGTGCCTTTGTTCTTAACGACATTTGATTTGTCCTCTCCTGGTTTTTATTTTTTTTTGGAGATTTAAAGTTCTTGAGATTTTAAAATTTTGGAGGTTTACCTAACGTTTCAAAATTGGTATATTATATATGTTATTGCCGTAAGCTGCTTTGAGACCTATGTGGTAAAAAGTGGGATATTTTCCCGGCAATATTAAAAAATAAATAAACAGCAGTAGCATCAAACTCTACAATAGCAGACTTGGATGGTGAGTGCAGATAGGGTTGCAGCCAAAATCAACAAGAACAGGAACAGCCCAGTGATGATGACAGAGCATGCTCAGTGGCCATAAAATGCTGAGTGTTTGGAGAGGGGGCTGGATTACTTTGTGGGGTAGGGAATGGGCAAAATGGAGCTGTATGCTGGCTGAAATACCGAACAGGAGCAGTCTAGATGACAATATTTCATTTCAGGTTGCAACCGAATATCAATCACTAAATTTACTATTATTATTTGTTTGGTTTCTTAAAAAGCAGTTACAGCAGCAATGCATGGGGAAGTCCTCTCAAAATGAATGGTGTGACAGAAGTGTGTGTATGCTCCCACATTTATTCATGTTCAAAACACTTTGTGATGTATGCTGATATATGAAGGTAATGAATTCTTTGGTGACTGGAATATGCCATACCTTGTGTTCCACCTCGTCTACCAATGAACCAGCACCTAAGTATCTGGACCCAGGAGAACGCTCAAGTCACCTGCTCCTCAGATCAGAAGGTGATTGTGGCTTTGGTTTGATATTAAACAGCCACAGCACTGCCTGGTCAGAAAGAGCAAGTGTACTAGCCTTTTGCCACGTTGAGACCTTGGTTCTCATGGAGCATAGCTTACAACCTAATGGTTTTGGTGGTCACCTCCCCGTGTGAGAATCAAAAAAGCAAAACCAAATGTAAGGAATGATTAATGGTCATGAGGATCCTGGAGTCAATTGCTCGAGTTGTTGGCAGGTAAGCATTGGCTTGACTTGCAGTTTTCAAACCACATCGCAAATGAAAGTCCCCCAAGGTAACACATTGCTTTGTTTTGTTAAGTCAGTGTGCTTATCTGCCGCGAATAAAACTAGATTGACTTTAATGTCTCCCTAGTTGTTTGCATCACCTAATAGTTGAGCAGAAAGTATTACAATAAGTAATGTAGCCTTGTTGGATACGGGGGGAGGTGTCTTGTCTTTTTTTATTATCAGTAGCAGAACTCTGAGTGAATTACACCGTGCATGCACAGAACAGCAAATAATTCTGCATCCTGCTTATTTTGCTTTTCCTCATGCTGTCTTAGCTTATCAATAGTGCCGGAATACAATATCTAATGCACAATGCATTAGAGTGAGGTGTGATGCCATCTCACTCCTTTTCTGTGAACAATTGAGGCTGTCTTCATTTGAAGCAAAAGTCCAAATGAAATCATCAGACTTCCCTGCCACACATGCCGTATTGAGCACTGCTGACACAAATCCCAATGCAAGCTTATACAGAGTCACCTGCCTGTGATGGGTAGAAGTTGCTTACATCACAGATGACCAAGCAGGAAAGCCAGCAGGGTCAGGGCTGATGGGAACTATAATCTAGCAGCACCTGGAGGGTCACAGCTTTCTCATCCATGCTGCATAGGTTGGTGGAGTCATTAAATTCAAAGAAGATGCCCACTTGCTCTGCTCCCAGTGCTAAAGACTAGAAATAATAGTACCTGCTTTTTCCCCCACTGAGAAAGGCTTGGCTGAAACTCATTCAGTTTGTTTCAATCCCTAATGCCTAGAGCAGGGGTCAGCAAACTTTTTCAGCAGGGGGCCGGTCCACTGTCCCCCAGACCTTGTGGGGGGCCGGACTATATTTTGAAAAATAATAATGATGAATGAATAACCCAGAGATGCAATTTAAATAAAAGCATACATTCTACTCATGTAAAAACACCAGGCAGGCCCCACAAATAACCCAGAGATGCATTTTAAATAAAAGCACACATTCTACTCATGTAAAAACACGCTGATTCCCGGACCATCCATGGGCTGGATTTAGAAGGTGATTGGGCCGGATCCGGCCCCCGGGCCTTAGTTTGCCTACCCATGGCCTAGAGGCATTATTATGCAGGTGTTGCTTTTTTACCTCTGTGATATCGGATACCATATATGAATCAATTTTAGTATTTGATTGTGTTTGTTTGTTGTCCAATAACTTTATGAATGACCTTGGGACACACACTGCCTTGATTAGTAGAGATTTATATCACTGATGAGGAATAATAAGCCTGACCAGTCTCATTGTTGAGAGCACTCTGCTGAACACTAAGACTGCAATCTTACACACATTTCCCCAGGATTAAGCTACATTGAACTCAATAGGGCTTACTTTTGATATGCATAGGATTATACTATGACTGAACAAATATTCAGCCAGCACTCTTACATGGTATAGTACCAAATAAAACAGAGTACTTAACCCTTAGCCCTAATCAAGGTTTTGCTATAGCTGACCTTTCAAATCAGCAACAAAGTGGAGCAAATCAGGCAATATTATTTTTCAGGCTTTGAATTTCAAAAATAATATAGTGGCTGTACTTGATTGGCACATTCAAAGCACTGTTGCAAAGTGCTTGCTTTCATTCCTAAGAACCACGTGCCCAGTTCCATGAGTCCAAGGAAGCTTTGGATTTAATTTGTGTCCCCCTCAAAAAAAATATGTGCAAAATTGCCTTTGCAAGTCAAGGGCGTTTCAAAAAGCTCAAGACTCTGTCATTC